ACCAAATGGGGACTCCACTTTTGTCCCCAAAGGTAGGATTTTTGTCTTAAAATTGCCCCCAAATGTCACCAGTTGAGTCACATGGGTTGAGTTGAAACAACCAGAGCTGCTGCTTTTCTTACAGAGCTAATGCAATGGTTAGCTTCATGTTGTTTTATAAATGCCATTAGCATAGCAGCTGTAAATTAGTAACATGTTTCCTGGTCCTTTCTTCACAGTTAGTTGTACCGTAGCAGCAGCAGCAACAWATCAGTGAGGTATTGAGGTATTAAGAAGACTTAAGATTTAGTAAAATTACTCAAGTTTTAATTTTGTTTAGAAGTTAGCTATCTGTGAAATAAGATTTTCCCCAAATTTTCAATCTTACTGAACTTAAAGGAAGTATTGCTAAATCCACATGTACCTTTGAATCTATGTGCATAGTTAGATAAATTAGATGGATTATTTTACAATGAATTAGATTTTCAATCAGCCCAAAGGGACTCTGTTCAATAGCAGTGAGTCAAAGGTGTCTAATTCATTTTCACTGAGGGCCACATGAGCATTGTAGTTGCACTCAAAGGTCCAGTTGTAAAAACGTTTATTAATTTAACACAAAAACTCATATTCCTCATCTCATTGCTATGACTGAGCACTGCTAACAAACAATAACTGAGCTCTACATGGTATTTTGTGCGTAGAAACAGTGTTTTAACAAATCCTCCAATAAGTACTAGTAAGTACTAAGTAATAGTAAGATAATTTTACTCCATGTTGAATTGTGGCAACTAACCACCATCATGAATTCTTAACTCTTCTACTTTCCCACAGTGAGGAAACTCCCACTGACCAGTACATTTTAGCCAATTCAAAAGTAGTCCGAAAAAAATGCAGCAAAATGGAGATTTTATACAGCTAATTTAATTTTACAGTCTACTCTTAAACACTGTGCGCCTCCACTTAGTGGTGTGATGTTAATCATTTAGTGGGTACAATGATCAGCATGTATTATGGGAAATATAGTCTATGGTCACTGATGGCATTATAGCAAACTATTTTAAGACAGTATGCATTTGAAGCTCTCTGAGACCGCATAAAATGCAGTGGCGGGCCACACTTGGCCTGCGGGCCTTAACCTTGACACATGTGCAGTAAGGGTTAATATGTCAAAACAGAAGCATAAGCTATTTTCTGTAGCAGTTTCATATGATTTAACTGATTGATAAGAGACATGTTGCTGTGTTACCMCTGCAGCCCTGCTGAGACTGCGAGGCAGAGCAGACCTGGTGTCATTTGAGCTGCAACAGATTAAAGAGGAGGCAGCGCACACTCAGAGCACGCTCACCATCGGAGATTTCTTCAAGAAAAAAAGTTACAGACAGACAATAATTATTGTTCTCATCAACACTTTGGGAAGCCAGCTCTCTGGATTCAATGCGGTCAGTAACTATTTTTCCATCATTAGAGGAATAAACACTGACTTTCTAAATTGTGTTTTTTTTATAATTAAATTTAAATATAATTTTCCCATCATGGTGAGTTTATTGTATTAAATTTTTCTGTCACAGCTTTATAGGAATTTCCCAATAAGTTGTTCAAATTCAACTCCTTTATACAGTTTCTCATAATCTGAGATTGTTTCATTTTTTTAACCTAAATTTTAAAAAATGCAGTTATGTCCCAGTGTTTCACTACATTTACAATCATTTCTGTAATTTATGATGAATTATCATGGAAAATATGGGAAAATTGTATCCACAAGCAATGCGGATCAGGCTTTGACACCGGCAGTACCGGGACCTAGCGCATATCAATGGGCCTGGTACCCCATACTCCCAGAGTACCCCCCACAGGAGTCCCAGAGGGACATGGTTGAACGCCTTCTCCAAGTCCACAAAACACATGTAGACYGGTTGAACTCCCATGAACCCTCCAGGRCCCTGCTGAGGGTGTAGAGCTGGTCCACTGTTCCACGACCARRACCAAAACCACACTGCTCTTCCTGAATCCGAGATTCGACTATCTGACAGATCCTCCTCTCCAGAACCCCCTGAATAGACCTTACCAGGAAGGCTCAGAAGTGTGAACACACTCTGCAGTCCCCCTTTTTAGAGGGACCACCACCCCGGTCTGCCAATCCAGGGGAACTGCCCCCGATGTCCACGCGATGTTGTAGAGTCGCGTCAACCACAACCCCACAACATCCAGAGCCTTAAGGAACTCCGGGTGAATCTCATCCACCCCGGTGCCCTGCCACTGAGGAGCTTTTTAACCACCTCAGTGACCTCAGCACCAGAGATTGGAGAGTCTGACCCAGGGTCCTCAGGCTCTGCTTCCACTTTGGGAGATGTGCTGGTGGGATTGAGAAGGTCTTTGAAGTATTCCTCCCACTGAACCACAATGTCTCAAGTTGAGGTCAGCAGCGCACCATCCCCACCATAAACAGTGTTGGTGGTGAACCAATTTCCCCACTGTGATGCCGTATGGTGGACCAGAATTACCACAAGCCGTATGAAAGTATTTTTCCATGGCCTCTCCAAACTCCTCCCATGCCTGAGTTTTTGTCTCAGCGACCACCCGCTGTTTTTGAAGACCTAATGCGCTTGGACTCACGATATCTATCAGCTGCTTCTGGAGTCCCACAGCCCATAAAGACCTGATAGGCCTCCTTCTTCAACATGACAGCATCTCTCACCGCCGGTGTCCACCAGCGGGTTTGAGGGTTGCCGCCACGACATTCCTGTCTGCATTGCAGTCAGTAAGTCGGGCTCTTTTCCAGTGAGAGTTGGACTCCACCAAGGTTGTCCTTTGTCACCGATTCTGTTCATAACTTTTATGGACAGAATTTCTGGGAGCAGCCAAGGTGTTGAAGGGATCCTTTTTGGTGACCTTAGGATCCCATCTCTGCTTTTTTGTGGATGATGTGGTCCTATTGGCTTCATCAGATCCTGATCTCCAGCTCTCACTGGAGCCGTTCACAGCCGAGATGAGGATCAGTGCCTCCAAATCCCAGACCATGGTCTTGAGCTGGAAAAGGGTAGGGTGCCTTCTCCAGGTCGGGGAGGAGGTCCTGTCCCAAGTGGAGGAGTTTAAGTATCTCGGGGTCTTGTTCATGAATGAGGGAAGAATGGAGCAGGAGATGTACAGGTGGGTTGGTGCTGTGTCTGCAGTGATGTGGGCGCAGTATTTAACTGAATATAGAGTAGATTGAAAAGGATTTGAAAATGATTGTATTCTGCTTTTATAATTTACATAACATCCCAGCTTTATTGGAATCGGAGCTGTAGTTATGGTGCTTCTCTGTCTTGACATTCACCAAGCTGTCAGCAGTTGTAGCACAGCAATGTACTGGCTTATACATGTTGCCTAACCTTCTTAAAGTTACCTCACATTTCTTCTAGTTTTACAAAGCCTGAATCCAGAAACCAATGATACCCCACAAGGATTCCTGGGACTATTTTGAAAGTAAACTAGTTAAATCAGCTCAGATCTGCTGTGACATGAAAGTGAGGACCTACAGTTCATGAGAGGAAACTGAGAACTCTTGTGAATATTTCAAGACATTTTGAAAACTCTTTATGTTTGTTGTCTGGATTTGTTTTCAAAAGTTTCAGCTCTGTGATATATGCGTTTAAGTTATCTAGCCTGATGTGTTTTTTATTGTTATTATTTTGACTGTACAATTGAATTGAATTCCATTTTTATTTCAGGTGATTAACTATTCCACCAGAATGTTCCAGGCCAATTTTCATAATGCCAAATATCTGACTCTGGGTGTGGGAGCTGTCAATGTTTTCTTCACTCTAGTAGCGGTGAGTAAAGACTGTTTATAACGCAGCCTACATCATCCAAGTGTGGAAAAAGAGGTATTTTTGGCAGTTTGACATCCCTAAGAAGTGTGTAAAAGTGGTATCTCAATGGGCTGCAGCCAGTTAGTGAATGACACTCATGAAGTGAATCTCTTACCTTCAATGTGGCTCTCATTTTGTTTTCAGAAATCACAGAAGAGTACAATCCTGTCGTTTGAGATTTGAACATGTTCAAAGAAATGTTTACATCGTAATAGTGACAGACTCATCATAGGTATCTCAAATCTGTCTTGAACCCATCTGAATTATGTCCTGGTTGTATTTCCATATTTCCAAACAGTTTCAAGATCCCTGGAGTTGCATTTTGACACCTGCACAGAAACTCAGCTCTGACAAAAAAAAAAAAAAAAAACTCTAAAGAAAAAAATTTGAATCAAAAATAGACAAAGTAGTTTGAATCTGCACATCTTTATTTCTAATCTGTAGTCCAGTAGATTAAATCATAAAAGGGATGCTAACAGAGGTGGGTACAAATCACATCAAGGTGGGTGGATTTGGTCAACAAAATCATGTGCACAGCCAAAAATCAGGCTTGTAAAGTAACTAAGTACAAATACTTTGTTACTGTACTTAAGTAGAAATTTGGTTATCTGTACTTTATTTGAGTAATTATTTTTCAGTGTACTTTTTACTTTTACTCTTTACTTTTTTACACAGTTATCTGTACTTTCTACTCACTACGTTTTTTAAAAAGGTAAGAAGTAGAAAGTTGTTACTCCTGTTTTATTCTGAGTTGTTACTTAAAAAATCCTCTCCTGATAAACTGTGTCTCCTGGATCGAGTGAATTTAATTGTGTTTGGATGAGAAGTATAAATATATACCATTCTGACACACTATTAGCTTGTACACAACCCATCACAGCTGCACGCTGTTAGAAAATATAGTTTTTGGAGACGTCACCTCCCAATAAATGTCATTTTGTAAAATCTAACTGCTCACTTTTACTCAGTACTTTTACTTTTAATACTTAAGTAGATTTTGTGTCAGAAATTTACTTTTGAAACTTAAGTACAAAAATGTCAGATACTTTAAGACTTTCATTCAAGTAATATTTTTAGAGAAGACTTTAACTTTTACCAAACTATTTTTATGATAAGATACTTGTACTTTTACTCAAGTATCACTATGAGGTTCTTTATACAACACTGCCAAAAATMCAGTTTTGCAAGTTGTGTACAAAACCTGTTTTCAAAGACTGACAGTGACATAAAACGTCTGCATGACTCACTGGTCGGTTGGTTGCAAACATTTAGGGTTAAATGGGACAGCAACAAAATATTCACTAATTTTCTCACAGTTTTTACAATTATTAGTTTTAAACTAGTCTCTAACAATTGCAGCCCAGTGAAATATGTCCTTAATTATAAAACTTACAAGAATATAGACTTTTTCCACTGGTATTTGGATTAAAGAAGAACAGATTGGAACATCTACAAGGAAATACTTTAACAGCATTAACAAAAACAGAATGGAAAATAAAATAATAAATATCAGTTTGAGTATGTTTTTTTAACATTATTATTTCTTGTCCAGTTCTTCCTGATGGAGAGGGCGGGGAGGAGGAAGCTGCTGCTCACTGGTTTTATCTGCATCGCAGTGAGCAGCTTACTTATGACCATAGTCGATTCTGTCCAGGTGAGTTATTATTACCAAGTGTCTGAAAAAAGTCCATATCCTGCACATATACTCATACTCAACCAAATAAGTTGGAGCCTCTTCATGGCATATTATGACAAGTATAAATATTGAAAACTTTCTAGACAATATTAATAATGGGGATAAGAATAATACTTTGCACGTTTATTGCATATTTTTAAAAGAACCTTAAAGAGTTACAAAAATGTGATGATAAAATTTATAATTGAATGGCAAAATGTCAAAGGCAATGATAAGTGTTAGAAAAATAATCAGGTATTTGTTGATAAAAAAGTCTTTTTAGTCCAACTCTTTTCAGGCTGAAGAGCTCTGAGTGTTAGCAACAGTTTTCCACAGAATGCTCAACCTTTTATATCTCATAGTTTTATCCTGACAGGAGCAAGGTTTGAATGTTTGCAGTGAAGGGAACATGTTGGGAAATGTGGGGAAAGCTGTTWTTTTTTTTTCAGACGAGAGGTAACATATAGGTGAACTGGTGGGAGAGGAGGGTGTTTTTGTATGTTTTTTAATTTTTCCATTGTTTAACCAGGCAGATGTTTTTCAGGAGAGGCCAGTAATTTATTCTTGCAGCAATACAAGGTGGAGGAATGAGTATAGAAAACGTACGGGCTGCCATTTGTAAAAAATTACCACCAATATTTTTGTTTTATTTAGACTTTTATAAGAAAAAAAAGAACAGATTTATTTTTCAAAGTCAGTTTTTCATCATATGATTAATACATTTATAAATGTCATAGTTTATAAACTAAATATTTAACTTACAAATTAAATATTTAGTTAATAAACTAAATATTTAACTTACAAATATTTAGTTAATAAACTAAATATTTAACTTACAAATATTTAGTTAATAAAC